GGATAGGCAGACTAGGGAAGACATTTTTGAGCCACCTTTGGCAAAGTAGGAAGGATCGATTGGCCATCGGTGATCGGTCCTGTGGGAACAATACTCCGTCCTCTCGAGGACGCGTGGCCAATGGTCTAACCGCTAAGGCATGCAAAACATAAAAGTACGCCCCCCTCCCCTCCCCCTTTTACCCTTTTTTTTCGTGGAAGCACAGTACTGTCCCCTCGCTGTGCATGCAGTAGTACCCTAGTTTGACTTTGAAGCGTCCCCTTCCTAAACCACCCTTATGGAACCCATGCACTTCGACTGGCATTGCATTGCCTACGACGGGGCAATACCATGCTTGGTGGATGTGTTCAGCCACTTGGAGCGGTGGAGAGCCAGCGGACTCTGCGCGTCGAACCCTCCGGTGTTCCGCACCCAAGGTGTGCGTGTGGATAAGTCCACCCCGCAAGAGTGCCTCATCAGGGTCAAGACGAGGTCAGTGCCGGTGTCGCCCCCAGACACCTCAGTCAGCACTCTTCCTGTGTCATTAGTACAGCAGCACGCGTGATTATCGTTCTTTGTAGGTAGCTTCGAGGCCGCTCACCGCCCTTGGGTACGGATGTAAATCTCCTCGCATTGTTCGTTTGAGGAGAGAGTAGAGCTTGTCAGAGGCCGTCGTCCTGCAAGGCAGCAGCCGAGAGCGGGACAAGTGTCAGGGTTGAAGGAAAGTCCAAAGGGCATCGTCCATCTCTGCTTTTACGTGCTTTCCCGTGCGGCATCACTGACGTCATCTCCCTGCCCGGTACACCTTGCGTTGCCCCGCTTGGGGCACCCTTCCCCCCCCCCCCCCCCCCCCCCCCCAACGTTGCAAATCGTCGGTCGGAATTGCAGGTGCGCCTCTCGCTGTGGACAAGTCTCTCTGTTCGATATCGCCACCGAGATACGAGTGTCCCCCGGAGGAACCTTGGAGATGACCGCTGAGGTCGAGCCCCTCAAGGGGGTGACGACGCGAGATTGCTTGAGCCTGGCCAGAGTAGGTATCCTGCTCCAGCTACCCCCTGGGTTTGGGCGGGTGGAGTGGTTCGGCAAGGGGCCCTTCGAGTGCTACCAGGACCGCAAGGTGATGGCTCTGGCTTTTGCTCTCGTGTGTGGTCGACGAAAACTTGCCCGGTTGGCTCGGGGAAACCTTTTTTTGTGGTGTGAGGAAATTGACTTTTCTTTTGGCGCGATGAAGCTGTGTCTTGGTGCGGGGCTTTGTTGTTTTTTCCTCCGTTTCATGTGGATGCGTCGGCGGCTTCGTACCATTTACGGGATTCATGCTTTCAAAGTCCTCCGTATGTTGGATTTTTCGGAGATGCGGGGGACGACGAGTTTTGCCCCCCTGCTCTGTGGCGAATGGTGACCAACCACCTTCGCTTTTCGCACACACAGGGGTCGCAGGCAGCCCCCGCCAGCTGTGCGTCGGTCGGCCCTTGTGCATCATTCTTCTTTTGGCCTTGTATGTGGGCGAGTGGACCCTCTGCTGTTATCACATCTTACCCGTTTAAGTCTCGCGTGTGCTCTGGTCGGCCCATTCGCCGCGTGGGCATTTGCGTTTTCGATGGTTAATCTGAGAAAAAACATGTACCTGTTGTCGGCGAACTCTCGGGGGCGCTCAAGGGCCTGAACTGAAGCCCCTGCTTCCCGCCTGAACACGTGCTTCTTCTCAGCACGGTGCGACGACCGGTGTTTTCTCCGGAACGGTGGAGGATCAGCACGTGCCGTACATGGTACCCAGCGAGAACGGCGGCAAGGCCGACGTCCGGTGGATGGCGCTCCGTAAGGGGGAAGGGGGTGCTGGGTTGCTCATGCAGGCCGAGACAGGCGCGGTGTTTCAGGTAAATACATATAATATGGTACCATGACAAGTAGGACAAAGAGTTCTTCGACGGCCTTTTCCTCTCTTGAATCTTGTCCGAATGCCAAATAATGCGATAGGCAAGCACAGACTTGTTGGTCCAAGCGTTGGGAAGGTCTCAGGAACGGATTTGATAGTGTTCCACGTTGAGTGTTGTGGTGGTGAGGGGAAACGCCCCTAGGCATCCTTGTGGAGCACAATTGTGCACCTGGGGGGCATGCGCACGAGCGTCTAGTGTGAGAACCGTGGATCGACACAGCCATTGTTACCGTCCCTGGCGAGGGTCGCGGCAACGCGTCGTTTTCACTTCTTGAGCCCGGCGAGAAGTAGGAGCCCGTTTCCTTCGCCAATAACTTACGGCTGCATCACAAGCTGGAGGACATGGTCCTTTCTGAGCGCGGTCGAGGGTCTGAAACAGCATCGACCACGTCTTCGTGCGCTCAGTCTGCCCCTGCCAACTCCTTTTGGTAGGGTTGGTTGACGAGCCGCGACGTCATGCGTATCTCCAACACTCATACGTACGCGTGGCTTGCCCCGTGCTCCTCACTCGCACGATTGCTCAGAATATCACCCCTCCCCCTTCCCCCCGGTGCTTGAAGTATTGTGGCGCCTACCGAACGTGAATCGTTTGGTTAGTCGGCATGCCCAGCCAACCCATGGCACATCTGGTTTGGCGCAGCAAACGCAAGGAAGACCACCAGCTCTTTTGGTTCATCATGGTGAAGCGTAGCATTGGCCGGCGAAACCCGGCATATCGCTCCGTCCCGGCATTGCACGGATGCGAGGTCTATGATATCACGACTACGGCATGCCCTTAAAGGAGTACCCCCCCCCCCCCCCCCCCCCCCCCCCCCCCCCCCCCCCCCCCCCCCCCCCCCCCCCCCCCCCCCCCCCCCCC